GTTTCAAATGTCACATTCTGATAGTAGTCTATTTGTCAAACATGATGGAGAAGATGTAATAACTCTACTATCATATGTGGATGATATTATACTGATAGGATCAAATTCCAGTAACGTACAAGCAGTTATTCAAGAGCTCAGTGAAGTGTTTGAGTTGATGGACATGGGAAAACTGTCATATTTTCTAGGGTTACAAATTCAATATAAGGAGAATGGAGATATCTTCATTAATCAGTCTAAATATGTAAAAGACTTGATTCACAAAGCTGGGATGGACTCTTGCAAACCAACAACAACCCCATGTAAGCCACACACTCAGTTGTTAGCTACTGAGGGTACTTTATTGCCTGGTCCTACCGAATATAGATGCTTGGTTGGTGCACTTCAATATCTAACATTTACTAGGCCTGATTTGTCATATGTTGTTAATGTAGCATGTCAATATATGACTAATCCCACAAATGTGCATTTTAATCTTGTCAAAAGGATTTTGAGGTATGTTCAAGGATTAATACAATGTGGTTTGACATATTCAGCATCATCAGATACATCAATTACTGCATTCTTTGATTCTGATTGGGTAGCTGATCCCAATACCAGAAGATTAGTCATAGGCTTTTGATGAGTAGATTTTATATCATATATTTTACCCTAATCTTAGTATATTTTGGTTAATATTTTGGAAGAAATTTTGATACTTTGAATTGTATTTTCAATATAGGACTTTCGACTTCCTCTGGATCAAAACAGGATCAAATGGATGAATTTTGGAGTAATTCCAGTTGGAGGACGTTCGTGAGTCACTTAGCTTGATCGTATCAAAATTTGGGATTTTTCCACCAAGCGGTTATTTTCTGGCGATGAAATAAAGAAGCAGTGTGCAGTGCTGGAAAATGACGTTTTTGGGCTTAAATTGCGTTTTTGGAGCCCAAGATGACCTTGGATGAGTTCATGGCCTTCTGGAAAATTGTTCAAAATATTCCAAACATTAAATCCAGCTATATTGGGCCAGTTTTGGAGCAGCTTATGGGTCAAAACGTGGCTGTTCAGATTTTGGACGAATTTTTACTATTTTAATTTAGGGTTATGTTTGTCTTTAGGGGGATTAGGGTTTGTGTGGTGGCTTAGCAAATATATTGCTTGGCCGTCTACAGTTTTAGACTACGCTTTATTTTATGCAATATTGGAGACAGAGAGAAGTGCTAGGGTTTTGAAGATTTTCTACTTGAAGGTGTTTTCAATCCTTTTCTTAATAGATATTTCTATGATTTCAATTATGAATATGCGGAACTAATTTCTTTTGCTAGGGCGAAGCCTTGAGCCTTAGCATGAATATGTGATTTTTATTTAATTTCTTATGATTGATTGCATGCGTACTTTGAATTGTTAATCACCGGGATAAAAACTATCTAATTGTCGTAATGCCTGATCACCATTAGGATCTTTAGAAAAGTAATTTGATGCAATTTTGGTCGGAAGGTTCCCTGAAATTGACGCTGGCTTCTTGTGATTAATAATTGTAATTTCTCTTAAGATGAATATCACGTCTTAAGGATTGCATGATTTTTCAAAGGATTTTCATAAAGCATAATGAATATTTCATGTTTAGATTTGATCCGAACGTCCGGACGGGTTGCATGTTAGATATACGTTCTATGTTGGAGGTTCCAAGTAGAATATGAATTAGGAAAATCTAATCTTCAAAGTGGCATGTGTAGATTATAAGTAATTGGTAAAAATTCATAGGATTGCTAGGTGATGGTGGAACCCTAGTGCTTTCTTAATTTTATTCTCCCAAAACTGTTTTCTTTCTCTCTAGCTCTAATATTGCAGATTGTTTATTTTAATTCATTAATTTCGTTTTTATTTTAATTAGGTTATAAAATCAATCATCTAAGTTTCTACTTTACAATAATTAATTGGAATCTGATTAGTTTCGAATTATTTATGGAGATGACCTTGCGAAATCCGTTTATACTACAATAACCTTGTGATTCTTGCAAGTAAAATAGGAGATTTAAACCCGTTCACATGAGTACTAAAAATCCCTATCAGCTTTGCAGTATATATGAGACTTAACCTTATCTCATGGCAATCAAAGAAGCAAGCATCAATGTGAGATCCCGTATTTTTAGGCTTTGTATTAATGTTATTATTAGCAGTCTGTTTTAACCTAGAGCCTTTTTAGTTACTTACCTAATTATTTGTGACACTATATATGTATACCTTTTGGTTAAGCCATGCATGCTTTCATTCCCTGCATGCAAAGAGTAACGACCAGTGATTAGGCTTGCCATTTTAATGACACCTGTCATTGTAACGAAAACTATGAGCATCATCACCTATATAAGCTATCGTATTTCTATGACATTCTTATCTTTTATCTTCCCAATCTTTACACCTAGCATGCCAAATTTCCCAGCTACCAAAGCCAACCAATTAGAGCCTTTGGTAGCCGCCCTATATTCCTATAAGTAGGAGCTCTGCTCCATTTTTTTTCCTACTACAATTTGCGTGCTCTAGTTTACCTAGAGGTGGTATATAACGTGTGTGTATATATATGTATGTACGTGTGTGTATATATACATTATATATGTATAGAGAGAGATTAGAAAAGATAAGGGTGGAAGAAATACATTGGTTTAGTAGTGATCAAGAAGCTAGATCAAGTGCGTGGAATTTAGCTATTGCGATAGTGACATGGATCTTCATTTTAGCTTTGGAAGCCAGGTAGGGGAAATACTGTAAACCTTTACGGAAATTGATTTTATTAAATTCCGTGAAGTGTTATAATATTCTTGATCTTTTTTATTGATTGATGTGGTTGGATATTAATTGGCTAATTGCTTCAGTTAAGTGTTTACTTGTTTTTGGTTATGGAATTATTGCTGGAATGCTATTCGTTGAGAATATATTGTGATACATGTGAAAGATGAAATGATATTATTTGTGCATCATTCATGTTGTGAGATGTGGTTGGAACTTCAGTGTTGAGATTGGAATTCAAGAAATGAGGGTAGTTGGAAATGATCTTTTGTGTAGTTGAATATATTCATTGTGAAACCAGTTCCAGGCGAGCCCGGTGTGCATATTAGAATAGCATATCGGTGGGAATTATCGATGTGGGTGATTTGGGCTGGAGATCAATGAATTAGATAAGATGACTAGCAAAAGGAGTTTATGAATTTGGGATATCGTATAGAGGTTAGTTTCTGTAATAGAACATTCGAACCACCACTGCAGTGGTAAAATGCATGGTATGGGACGTGCAGGTCTGCATGTTTTATTATATAAATTAACGGGTGTAGCTAAAGAGGTTGGATTGCATACATGCATTGTTATCATCTATGATTTGATATTTGGCTATATGATTTCATGACACTTAATTTAATATTGTCAATTTACTGTGATAAGATTATGTCCCTATTGTGCTGTTGAAACTCATCCTTCTATTGTTATGCAAGTTTATGAACTAGACATTCAAGAGTGTAGGCAAGATTTTATGTCCCTATTGAGTTGTTAAAGCTCATCCTTATTGTTATGTAGGTTTACGAACTAGACATTCAAGAAAGTAGGCAAGATGAGATCGAATTAGATTGGAGTAGCGAAAGTTCATCTATTTATTGTAGGTTGTAAAGAATTCTTGATTTATTTAAAAATCATTAATTATTTTTATAAGAGGAATTTATTTTCCAACCTATTTCAATTTCTTTTTATTTATTGAGCTTTTAACTCATGTTTCGGATTCAGGTTCGAGTTTTTATTGCCGACCTGGGTTCGGGGCGTGACGATCAGTGTCTTGAAGCTCTATTGAGGCAAAATGCAAAGCTTTAGCACATTGTGCTGCATACATAGCTTGGATAAGACTGTTATTGAAAGACTTACATCAGTTCATTGCTAAACCACCATTGTTACATTATGATAACCTTTCTGCTTTGGCACTATGTTCCAATCCAGTATTTCATACTAGAATCAAACATTTGGATACAGATTTTCACTTTATTAGGAAAAAAGTGCAAAGAAAGGATTTGATAGTCCAATATATTCTAACTGAAGAGCAAACTGCTGACATTCTTACCAAGGGGTTACATGGACCAATGTTTGTCAAGCACTGTAGTAATCTCAAGCTTGGTTACCACAGCTGAGATTGAAAAAGTAGGCAGACTATGCCCATTCCTTTATGAGTGGCTTCAAGAGATTAGGGTCCCCCCCCCTATATTCTCCCTCACACTCTCTGTGATGGTTGCAAGTTTCACTCCCCCGTGGTTGATTTGCAAGCAAGCTAATCTCCTAGTTTGATTTGCTTGTGTGTAGTGCTTGTTATAGGTAGATGTAGATGTGAAGGTGCCTAAGGAACCGCCCTAAAATACATTGTTAGAGGCGTTGGCTATTCATAGATCTCTCTCTCTCTCTCTCTCTCTCTCTCTCTCTCCATTGATTAATTCTTAGCTTGATCTTTAGCTAATTCTTGTACTGTTAATAAAGTTAAGATACAGGCAAATTTCAAATGAGAATATCACCACATACAGTGTTATGTATTAGTTTTTGTTTACGTGACAATATATTATTAAACTGGAATGTCAAAGTAATTGTTCCCGTACACAAAAAATTGACACTCATTGAATAATAGAAGTACAATACATATAAATTTACACTAGTCAATAATTCTGCTAGAGAAAAAAATAGCTTAAGATCCAACCCAACCTTATTCTCAAATTAATTATGCCTTAATCCTTGATGGAATGGAATTAACCACATTAAAACAAAAATTTCCTCACTCATCGAAAGATACAATTTGAAATTGAAATGGAGTCACGCCTTCAACTAAAAAATGGGATCTTGAATTGGCATTTTGGGATGGGATTTTAGAGTACTTGACGCCTCTTCAACATCGCCCACAAGTTTTTCCTAAACGTCTGCATGTTTGACACGTCTCAACCATACGTCCACAAGCCATCTTTGTTCTTTCTGGGTCGTACGAACTCTCGATATATATGTTAACATTTTCATTGTCGATTGGGAGCATTAAGTTCAGTTTATTTGGCTAATTTTGTAAGGTGCTGATAAAAGAGAAAGGAAAAATGCAGGCAGTGAAGGACAAGATAAATGAAATGGGCGCCTTGCGCAAGGTCAAGGAGGAGGCCAGGGCCGAAGAGAGGGTACGTATATTTCATATAAATAGTAATGCAGTATTGTTACATTTGTAGATCCCATTGTCGCTTAATTCCATAAGAAATATGTGAACGACTTAATTATTTGTCTCCACAAATAATATATTCTGATGTTAGATTTTCTTTTCAGTTTTTTTTTTATCGTACAATATTAGGCTCTTTTGGAAATGCTTTTAAAATAACTGAAAGTACTTGCAAAAAATTCAAGTGTTTTTCTAGGATTTACTTGCATTTTACTAAAAATTAGTTCCAAAAACATTTTCATAAAAAGTGTTTTCAACAATTTTAAAAGCAATCCAAACAAGTCCGTTATCATTATAAAAGTACACACAAGAACAAAGGGACATGTATCGTATATCAATGTACCAACGAACGTGAATGTACCTGGAGTTTTTACAACGCATAGTTTACCTAATCAAATGACTATAATCAAATTTCAACCTAACACTCATTTTTCATACTGCTGGATATTCAAATTGTATACTGCTAGGCTGAGAAGGAAATAGCAAAGGCGAGAGTAGACGTAGCTCATGAGGTGAGATTGGCTAAAGAAGCTGAAGCAGCAATGTCACTGCATGTGGCCATGGCTGGGGAGATTGCCAGAGCTGGAGACAAAGCAGCACATGAACATGAAATTAAGGCAATGCATACGGCTAATGGTACGAACACTGCACATGAACATGGAGCTTCTCCTGCTGAAATGGCTGGTGTGGGAGGTCATCCAGCTTATAAACGAATGCCCTAAATTTTTATTTATCATTCTCTGAACATGCACCTATGAATTTGTAATCTCTTTATTCATATGTGTGTGTATATGTATGCACGTGCATTGTATGTTCATGCATCAATTTCCTTATAATCTTCTACGTTAAATTATTTCTTATAGGTTTGAATATTCGATACAGTTTCCGTTCGATTTTTGGCAAAATTGTCTGTGCATTTTTTGTAATACAGAATTAGTAATATTAATTTTGATGTTTATAATCTTGGGTTTTTATCATAAACAGTCCCTGAAATTTACTCAACTCATCAACATGGTCATTGAAATTGAAAATCAATCAATGTAGTTCCTGAAAATAAATGTCGGAAATCAATGTGGTTTTTCCGTTACAATTCCATCAAAAACTGTGTTATGTGCTAATGTGGCACATAAGTGGATCCCACAAGACTAATTAATATTGCCATGTGGATTAGAAATACTATAAAATAATACAAAACAATTTTTATTTTTGGATAATTAAAAACTTAAAAAAAAAAGGTCATCTTCTTCTCCCACCCGAGGAAGCTGCACCCGTCCACTTCGGCTCCAAATCAGGAACTATATGCCTGATATCCAAAGCCCAAAGCCCCTAATATCTCATCCACCACACAATGAAGTAACACATCCCCAAAATTCAAATACAAAATTCAAAAATTAAATAAAAAATGTAATAAAATAAATTAAAAAATGTGAAATTACAGGAAGAAAAAGTTGATTAAAGGAGGAATTACCCTCGGAATGGGCATCCCAACCTTTGTCATGAGTATGTTGAGGCCGCTGATGATCAGAGGGTACCTGGGCTCCAACTTGTGCTGGTCGAACCCGTGCCCGACCCGAAAAGGCAAAAGATTGGACGAAGTGGCGGAAGTTGGAGCTTGGTTGACCTTGAAGGTTGTGCTAGCTGGGCGCAAACGACGCGTTTGCTCCTGTGATTACTCAGATGGGAGAGGAAGAAGATGATGAGCAGTCATCTTCTTTTTTTTTTTTTTTTTTAAGTTTTTAATTATATAAATAATTTTTTATTTAAATATTTTAAATCCACATAGCAATATTGAAGTATATTGGTGGGATCCAGTTATATGCCACATCAGCATATAACAGAATTTTTGACGAAATTATAACGGAATGATCACATTGATTTGCGACATCAATTTTGAGGGACTATATTGATTGATTTTCAATTTTAAAGATCATCTTGATGAGTTAGGTTCATTTCAAGGACCATTTGTGATAAAAACCCTAAAATCTTTGTTCTGATATATTTAATCACACTACTTTTTAGTCGCCACACGTTCCGCCCTCGAGGCTCTATATGTATGCAAGTTTTTATTTTATTTTGTTGTTTTATGCTCAGCACTTATGGACTGCCCCTTAGGGCTCAGCGCTTTAATAAGCTATCAAAATGAGGGCTCCTAGTTAAAACGAGTTAAAATATTGAATCACATTATTTTTAGCCCATTGTAAGACTTAATAACTACTCATGTCCTTTTTAGTGAGTTTTTATGAGTTGCTAAATCTAGGGAATGAAGTATCAAGCACATGTGTGAGGCGTATTGGCTTGGAACACCAGCTATCCATAATGAGGTGGTATTTCAAGAATGCGGAAAAATTTCTCCTCATAGTGGCTCTATTAATGCTAACGGTTGTAATATTATTTTTAGTAACTAATGAATTCATGGTTGGAGTGGAAGTAATATTATTTTTAGTAACTAATGAATTCATGGTTGGAGTGGAAGAACTTTGTAAAGCTTACGCGTCAACAGGTCGAGATTTACATGATATATTATGGATCATCTAATGCAACATGTGATACGATAATGATTTAAGCACTGAAATGAGTATGAAAAAAGTACCAAACAATTTTTTGTCTATAGAATGATAGGTGGATTTGAATTCAAAACCTTGGTTCATAGGTAAATTCTCAATCAAATGACTAGAAGCCCTTGCAAGAACATCCAACTATATATAAAGATGCAGAGGATTAGAACTTACAAATTCCAATTGAACTCATGAACCTTAAAATTTATCAGATCCTCCATAAATGTGCATAATAAATTCACATGTCATCACTTAGTCATCCATATCCAACCGACCCAAATCTATTTGGCTTTACATTTAAAGAAACCCTAAAACTACATATTTCAACTCTATATATACCTTCTTTCAGGGAATGAACTACAAGGAGCCGCCTCAACCTCAAACCCATCTAATCCATTGTCTCTTCCTTCAGCAATATCCCTAACTCACCATGACAAGAAAGAAAATCAAGCTTGCATACATAAGAGATGATGCTTCAAGAAAAGGAAGAACGGGTTGATGAAGAAGGTAAAGGAACTTAGCATTCTTTGTGGAATTGATGCATCTGCTATCGTTTATAGCCATTATGACACCAAACCAGAAGTTGGTCCGGACCCGGATGTAACCCGAAGGATAATCACAAGGTTTAAGCAGATGCAAGAGATGGACAAAAGAAAAAATATGTTGAACCAAGAAAGTATTCTAAGGCAACAGATAGTTAAAGTTGAGGAGCAGCTGAAAAAACAAAATAAGGAAAACCAAGAGAAGGAAATTATGATACAATCCATGTACGGGAGCCTTCCAGCTGACTGCTTGCAGAATTTGAGTGGCACGGATTTGAACGGCTTGTTGTTGTCGATTGAAAAAAGTATAGAAGCAATTGAGGAAGAAATGCAAGAGGCATGACCATAAGTAACAATGATTAATGAGGTTCAAGGGGTAAAGGAAAATAGAGTAAGGGACTAAGGGAGAAGAAATGATGGGGTAGTAGGTTAGTTAAAATAAATTTCCCTTCTTCTATTTGTTTCTAGTGTGTTATATTTTCTATTCAATGTATTTGATTTTTATATTTTAATTTACTTTCGAATGTTATGTAGTGCAATGTCATATGATAATTGTACTGAATTCAAAGCATTTAAATCTTAACCAATAAGGTGTTCTATATACATGATTTGTGTGCCGACACTGTTTTTCTAATTAAAAAAAATGTGATGATTGACATTTAGCATTGCAGTTTAGTGGTTTTTTTTTTCACTTTTAAGTGAGAGGTCTTAGATTCAAATCTCGTAGATGGTGAGTTTGAAACTAGTTTATCCCCCAACCACATGTTGTATAAAAAAAGGGTGACAGCCACTACTATGGTTTAGTGGTTTTGCTCTAATTTTTGAGAGGTCATTGGTTTGACTCCCGTTGAACAACTCATTGAAATTGGTACCATATAGAATCACCTACAATAATATGAACTGAAAATATGACTTTAGTCCCTGAAACTTAATTTTCTCCACATAAAACCTGACATAAGTTTTTTACCGGAATAAAACCCATTGACTAGATTCCACATCAGCAAATTCCTTAATTATATTTGACTTTACACATTTAAAAAAAATTCAATACCCAAAACACCCTTATTTGAATGTTTGATTTACACAATTAATTCCACATAAATTGTAAGGGAGAATTAATGATTTTACAAAAAAAAATTAAAAAAAAAAAAAATTTGCCGTTGTGGCAATCTTTGGAACCCCCCACAGGTTTGATGGTTCAATTCCCCTCAAATTAGGGGTTAAAGGAACTGGGTTTTGCTTGGAAATGAAAGAGGGAAGGATGATGATTCATTTTCAGGTGGTGGTGAGGTTCGAGTCGCTGGAAAATCGACAAAAAAAGGATGGAAAAATCCGCTGGGTCGCGCAAGTCCAATGGGGGAGAAACGGGTCAAGGGGATCTGCTGCATCTCCTCTTCCTCGTTTCCCCTCCTTGCTCTCTTCTCTGGTTGGTCCCTCGCTTCTCTCATCTTCCTGATTGGGCAGCAGCCCTCTCAGCTTCCTCATCCGATTAGGCAACATCCCTCCCTTCTCCTTTGTTTCCTCTTTTCCCCGATTCCTTTCTTTTCCCCCACTCAGCCACCCACATGTGGCCAAATAATTTAGTAGTATAAAATAATATAATTAAAATAGTTATTTCTTCAAAATACTTTCGGGTTCGTAGCTCCGTAAAACTTTAATCGTAACTCCAAATTCACTTCTACTTACGCTTACATGTTCGTCTTGTCGAGTACTTCAGGAATACACTAAAAAACTATTTAGTACGTCTCACTATACGTTGGTCAACAAAAGTCAAAACCTTCACCTCTAGGGCATTTTGGTAAATTCACACTTTTAAAATTTATAAAATCGTAGAACTAAGGATGGGTTGTCACAAAAATAACAGAAAAATAATAACAAAAAATTGGCATAATCTACCCTAAAATTGGTATACCCCAAATCCGACCCCAAGCTCCACTCCTCATCCTATACTTGACCCTAAACCCCGCACCAAACTCAAATTACACATATTAATGAAAAAAAATTAAAATTTAGGGAGAATATACCTTTAGGCAAGATTGAGAGGGAGGAGTGAGTGTGAGAGAATTAGAGGAGATATAGTGAGAGAGAGAGAGATGAGATTGTGAGTGAGATATAGTGAAGAGAGATTAAGTGAGTGTGAGAGAGAGGGTTGGATTTGGGGAGAGGGAAAGAGAGAGGAGAGGTAAGAGTAGAGAAAGACATTGAGAAAATGGTGGATGAGTTATTTTGGTTTTAAAAGTCGTATCACTTTGCGTGATGAAATATTGGTAGCGCAAAGTCTTAAAAAAATTATAAAAAAATATTTCTAGCGTCCGATTTTTGGTGCCCGCTCAAAATTTTAGAGCTTTGCACGATGAAGTGTTGGTCACGCAAAGTTTTGCGTGACAAAAAATTGGTCGCACAAAGTCTTAAAAAAAAATTCCCATGTCCCATTTTTTGTGCCCACCCAAATTTTGAGTTTTGCACGACGAAAAATTAGTCGTGCAAAGTCTTAAAAAAATTTCTCACGTCCCATTTTTGGTGCCCACCCAAATTTTTAGAGTTTTGCACGACAAAGTGTTGGTCAAGCAAAGTCTTAAAAAAATTAAGAAAAACATTCCCGCGTCCCATTTTTGGCTCGCGTCCAAATTTAAGGATTATGCGCAACGAAATATTGGTTCATCGCGCAAAATTTATAAAAATAATTTTATTTTACAATTTAAAATATAAATAAATTAATAAATAAGGTTTAGGCGACCAAATGTGTATTCGTCACGCAAAGAAAATAATAAAAATTTTAAAAAATTAGTTTAACAATATAAAATATAAAAATAAATAAAAAATAAGTATATAATGGTTAGGTGACGAAATATTGATATTCGTCG